GGGAAACCCAGGAATGAATTTGATTTGGAATTAGACAAAATGCAAGTGTGATTTGCATGGTGAATTTGAGACATCAAAGGAAATCTTCTATGCAGAGCCCACATAAAACCATTACATTTTTCAGAAACCTACCTAGAGCGATATGGATAGCCCTGCCCCTAGTAACCGGCGTTTATGTGTTGGCAAATGTGGCCTATTTCGCCGTTTTATCTGGAGTGGAGATGGAAAGCTCCTATGCGGTGGCTTTGGTAAGCAAACCGCCGCTGCTCTGATTCAGGCCACTCACCCTCCCTTTTGCAGTCGTTTGGAATGAGGATGTACGGAAGTTTCACCTGGTTGGTTCCGATCTTCGTAGCGCTCTCCTGCTTTGGAGGAGTGAACGGCATCCTCTTCACTTCGGCTAGACTGTTCGCAACCGGCTCCCAAGAGGGCCACCTGCCTGCCTTGTTCTCCTACATACACATTCGAAGAAACACGCCGATTCCCAGCCTAATCTTCACGGTAGGAGCATTGGACGCATTTTGCTACAGTTTAGTGATGTTTGGCTTCATTGCAGTGTCTAGCATCGCTAGCCATGCTGTTCGTCAGGGACGTGCTACAGCTCATCAACTACTACAGCCAAATGTTGTGGTTTTCTGTAGCCGCCAGTGTGGCGGGAATGATGATCTTACGGTACCGCCAGCCAGACGCTCCCAGGCCAATTAGGGTGCACACTTCCATACCCGTTCTCTTTTTGTGTGCCTGCGTTGTTCTCGTGATTCTCCCCATTCCGCGCCAGCCGCTGAATAGCATCATTGGAGCGGCGATCACTCTATCAGGCAAGCCGGCTCAGTCTAAAAAATCTCTAAAATTAATCGACACTTTTCAGGAGTTCCCATCTACTACCTCTGTATTAAATGGAAAGACAAGCCTGGCAACTACACGGTAATTGTAGGGAAGTTGACTCGCTTTGTGCAGCAACTCATGGAGCTGACGTCCCCGGAAGCGACCCAACTACTTTCGCAATCCTAATCTGAGGATTATTAAGTATTTTTTTGATAAGGTTGAGGTTCGACGCTTACAGTTTTTGTTATTTGGGCGCTTTGACTCAAGATTCAAGGAAAAAGATTTTATTATCGGATTCCAACAGCCATAATTTTGAGGCAAACGACTACAACAAATATAAAAAATGTAAACTATCGTTCCTGTTCAACCACTTTGCATTTTTGGATCTCGAATCTGCCGCATTTTGCTTGAGAACGAATGTGACCAATTGTTAAAACAATCAAACGTATACAAAATATATTTATTGAGGCATGTAACCCACACGCCGATGGTTTTATTGGGTCCAATTGCCACTTGATGGGTTTTACTTTTGTTTAATGACCCCCCTTTTCTTGTTTCTGTTTCGGTTTTTAACATTGCTGACCTCGTAGAAGTTGCTGCCGATTTTCTTGCGTTTCTGCGCCCGCTCCAAAGCGCGCTTCTGCTTGCTGGTTAGCTTCTTTTGCGGTTTTGAGACGTCTTCCACATGAAAGTCGCCACTGGCTGAGGCCGCCAACATGTCCTCCGTAGGATCCATGTCCGAATAGAAGCTGATCTCTGATGAACTGTCCGAGTGAATATCGTCGTCGTTTGTATTCATCGTGTTATCACCGTTACTGTCTGAAATTGCGGGGTCATCGACGCTTTGCGAGATGTCTTCTGTTGCGATACTGTCGCCTTCTTTGTATTCTTCGACGGCTTTATCCACATCCTCTATGGGGTCCAGCTCCTTCACGTCGTCCCCCTCATAGGTCAGGCCTACGCGGATTTTTCTAAAATCTTGCACGACGTTTATGTTCTTTTCATTTTCCACTTCTGGTTCCTTGGGCAGACCAGTCTCATATCCAGGCGGGCACACGAAGAACGGCAATTTCCCTCTCTGCCAGTCGTTTAGGATCATCTTTGCCACACTGGGAATATCGGGTTCTCCTCCTTTCAGCAACTTGCCAGAACGTCGGGCCATTTTGTCCAGAAAATCCATCGGGTCCTTCCAGTTATCCACTTTATAGGTCTTCACCAGATAGTCTTTTTTGACCCTTTCCAGCACTGCCTCTATGTAGTCTTCAGGGTTGTTTACCAGTTCAACACGCACCACGCCTTTCAGCACCTTTTCAGTGTCGGTTTCCGCCGATGGGTAAACCACCCCTGGGCAATCGATCAGATATATTCTCTTCATCAAGGTGATGTATTGCCAAACTTTGGTTTCGCCAGCGATCGGGGCCACTTTACACACCTTCTTGTTCCTCAGCGTGTTGATAATAGACGACTTGCCCACGTTGGGGTACCCAATAAATCCCACAGATATTTGCTTGTTGGCAATATGAAGCTTGGCTGCAAAATAAATTGTTAATGTTGATAACTAGCAGTTGAGGTAAACTTACCAAATTGCCTAAGAAGGTTGATCAAAGACCCTTTACCGAAAGGATGGGTCATACTAGCGTGGAAGGCCACAGTGGGATACTCCTTGCTTAAAATTGCCACCCATCGTTGCGTAACCCACGTTGGCACCAAGTCCACTTTGTTTAAAATGAAAAGTAGGTGCTTGTGGGGCTTTTCAGTCCTCAGGTATTTTTCCAAGTAGGGCGACCTGGTCCCCATGGGATCGCGGGCGTCCAGAGTTTGGAGCAAAACATCGGAACTGTCGATAACTTTGAACAGTTCGTTCCAGATTCTCCTGGACTGTCCAGCCCCCATTACCCAGTCTCTGACTAGGTCCGTGACTCCCTCATTGTCACGAACGATATTTGAGTCCTTCGCGTCATCATATTCCGATTCTTTTTTCTGGACCAGTTCAGTGAGCTCATCCAGGCTCCTTACTGCAATGTTCGGCCTCTTCCTGCTCTTTTTCGGCCCAAAAACACTATCAAAACTCTCGGTATCCAGCAAATGAACGCGAGCGTTTTTTGCTTTTTCATTTAGCAGAGTTATTGGCAGTGTTGTTGGCTTCATGATCATCTGGTACGGGTTGCGAATGACTGCCCCCAGCTCAGTCTGGAATTTCTGCAATGCATTCTGCGATATGACTCGGCTGTTTCCGAACCACTTCTGATTGGGCTCGACTCTGGCTTGAGTCCCCGCTGGCAGCCATCCTTGAAATGGGGCTGGAGTCAAGATGTTTCCCAGTCTGTCTCGTTTCGCTTTGAAATTCCTGTACATCTGCAGCCGCTTGATTGTGCCTTTACTACGGGGCTTTGCTACACCTTTGAGACCCTCCGCGGACCTTTCAGGGTTCATTGAGTGCCCTGAGCGGTTGAAGCCCTGCTTCCGAGGGGCCCCACCTACAGAACTTACTTTCGGCATCTGGAATTTTAGTTCTAATTAACTAAACGCTCCATGATTTGTAATTGTCTTTTACTTACTGTTTTATGTAACTACACAGCCTGTAGTTAATATATTTACGATTTTCCAAACACGTTCCAATTTCTTAGGTTAGGGCAGAGTTATGACATGGAAGGTGACGGATTGGAGTCGTTGAATATTCTAAAAAAACGTTGCCGATTTTACTTTTCCTAGGGCTATTGGTTTGAGATATTGGCAACACTATACAAAGTGTCTCCTCTTGACATTGTCACTAGTGCCAGTTGTCATTGTCGGTGCAGTTCTTTTCCAGTATAGTTCGCAATGGGTAGGTTGTCTTCTTATGTATTGAAAAATATCCTCAATCATCTTTAAAGATTTGAGATTTTTTGTGATAAAGTTGATTGCAAAAGCTTCGCAGCACCACGAATATACGAGGTTTCTAAATATTTTTTCGAATAACTGGTGTTTTTGGCTCATAACCTGTTTGTTGTGAGTCCATACTTTTATGATGATATCGTGTTAAATACAAGTCCGATGTGTGTGCTGACGACTCCAAACATCCCACAGCGATCTGAACTAGCAATAATCAGTCTTCGCTAGGAGATGCGTAAGTGTTTCGTGGACTAATCCACAACGTGTTTCAGGTATCAGCAGAGACCATTGGCATAAGCGAAGGGCGACAGGTGGTAAGCGAAAGCCCCTCAGGAAGAAGAGGAAGTTCGAGTTAGGGCGCCCTGCAGCCAACACCAAGCTAGGAGACCGCAGGATTCATTATGTGCGTACTCGAGGAGGCAACTTGAAGTACAGAGCCCTAAGGCTAGACAAGGGAAACTTCGCTTGGGGCAGTGAAGGAACCGCAAGGAAGACTCGTATTATCGATGTTGTTTACAACGCCAGCAATAACGAACTTGTCCGTACCAAGACTTTGGTAAAGAACGCTATTGTGGTTATAGACGCCACCCCTTTCAGACAGTGGTATGAAAGCCACTACATCTTACCCTTGGGCCGCAAAAAGGGCGCAAAATTGGTAAGAGCTTTTTCAGAGTGTATAATTTAAAGACTAAGATTCTGAGACTTAAAAATTGCAAAATGATGAAAAACATGCGTGTCATCTGATGTTAAATGTGATTAGAATGATTTTGCAATCCTGAACGAAATGTTCGGAAGGAAGTCTTTTTTGAAGATTCGACACATTTTAACGGTTTTGTTACACTTCCAGACTCCAGAGGAATCGGCCGTTTTGAACTCAGCAGCTGCTCGCAGCAAGAAGGTCCAGAAGAAATACGAAAACCGACAGAGGCTGGCGAAAGTTGAGCCCGCGTTGGAAGAACAGTTCCAAACTGGGCGGCTATTAGGTAAAGCACTGCAACATTATTTATTATTATTTTCGGTATGGCGTGTTTTGGTGATGATAACTCTTCTGCGAGAATGCGGTTTCAACGAGATGCCTGTTTTAGGCCCTCGTCGTGTTCAATGACAATGCTGTCATAGTTACTCTGATTTGGCTAGATTTTTAAATACTCATTTCTCCACTAGTAGCACATGGTTGATTGTATGATTTCACTTTGCAGCTTGCTTGGCGTCTCGTCCTGGACAGTGCGGAAGAGCCGATGGTTACGTTCTAGAGGGCAAAGAACTTGAGTTCTACCTTAGGAAAATTAAGTCTAAGAAAGCCAAATAAACTTGGCTTTATTTCAAAATAAAGTACAAATGTTTGTACTGTAATTTTCTGTCTTTGATACCCATAAGCCATTATTCCTATGCCTAACCGATTCTCGTCCCAAAGTTTTTTGTTTCCTAAATTAGTCGTTGGTCTGAGTCTAAAAGAGAAAAGTATTTTTGACCTTCTGTTGTCTGTTAATAGTGGAAACATCTCTCCGGATTTTCCTTTAGTTCTTTGTCGGTGTTCATGCGACAGTTTGCATTCTAAAACGGGCAGTTTATCTTTCTGTAGTCCAACGCTGCTTGTAATGCTAGCAGTTTTTTTTCTTCTGTATGCTCTGGTAGTCGTTGGAAATTTTTGATTTGCGGGTTAAACAGGAGCTCAATAATTGCGTCTCTTCCATAGGATGTTCGTAAAGCCGAGTAGTCGTTGTAAATTACTTTCTTTCATTGTCCTGTGAAAAGTCGATTAAATTATAGCAATGTTGTGCACTTCAATAATGAAGAATCCGGAAAAACTTGTTTTAAAAAATCCATTAGTAATTTATGGTTTAGAATTAACGGGCTGATGGGATGCTTCATCACCAACACCGATTAATGTTCTTCGCTCTCAAATGGGTTTAAATTGTGTAAATCTGAGCATATGCTCGCAAGTAGCATAATATCAGCTATACTGAAATGCCGCTTTATTACACAAATAGCATTTTTACTGTTACGCCTACATCGACATTGAAAAGCAGCCCCCCAGCACCCTGATAGCAGAGTGGCTTCACCTGCAGACAATCAATCGCTGTCTTCATGTCGCCTAGACTTCTTCTTCTTGTGCGGCCGGTGGCTGGGGCTTCTAGATCTGGATTTGTGCCGTCGGGATCTGCTTTTGGATCTCTCTCTCCTCCTGGATCTGGCAACACAAAGCGAATCAAAACTCGCCGTTCGGAGGGTAGAAGATACTCACTTTTCCCTCTCTGTGTCCCTTGGACGTAGCGATTTGCTCCTTTCACGGTCGCGGTCGCGCTCCCTCGAAAGACTTCGTCGCCCTGGGGATCGTCTGGAAGGAGGGCCCATCATGTGGGCCCCCCTGGGCGGGCTTCCGCCTCCTAATGTTTTTATATCCACCGGTTGCCAATTGGGATTCGGTTGTCCCTCCACTAAAAATGCCTTGATCAATATCATCGATCGCCTGTTTTTGGCTGCTTACTCCATTGTGAATCCTGCGTGGGTTCATACCCGCCGCCGTAAAATGGCTCGGGTTCGGGGTTGAAGCCAAAGTCCGCTTGCCCAATGAACGGATCGGGATAATTAATGGGAGGCGGCAAAGTTACATCTGGAAAACCTGGTTTCCGGCTGTATTCCCTTCTATCGGCAGTTAACACCTGAAATCGTCATATTGGCGATTGTTATATGCAGCTCAAATCGGCGTTTTAGAGAAAATGAGACAAAGAAACGTGCCTGAATAGTGTTTATCTTTGGAGAGTCGCCCATTTTCAGCATGGGTGTTCCCATTGATCTAGATAAGGGCTGTATGAAGTTCTGATTCCCATACTTATTATCCATTGAACCCCTTGGCAGGCCAATGGAATTCAAGGGTATAATGCCGACTCCAGACTCGTTAATACGAATTCTGAAACATTTCTATCATGTCCTGTGAAACTTTAAACAGCTTAAAACACATACCGCTTTTGCCTTTCACAGTAAGCTTTCCAGGTGTCCTCGTTAAAGCCATAGTTGAAATAATCGGTAATATCCGAGCCGGGTTTTCTCCAGGGTTTATCTTCTAGACTATCCAAATTGTAGTCGCACGACGACATCCCATTGATGGTCCCAATTTGCTCAAATTCTTCAATTTGGAACTTACCGGGCTGTGGGATTTGCTTGCTTTTATCGACGATTGCTGTCGAAATGCCGCCTAACAAAATCAATTGAAAAAGTATTTTGCCAAAAGTTGCATCAACTCACCTCGCTTAATACTATGCTGTTGCTGTTGTTGTTGTTGCTGCTGCTGCTGCTGTTGCTGTTGAGCTGGATATGAAGTGGTGGTTTTGATATTTCCAATGACCACATTAACGCCGTCATCACTGTCGTCATCCAGATCCTCATCATCGTCACCGTTTTGCTTCAATTCTCCATCTTCTCTTTCATTTTCAATCTCCTCGTTATCATTCTCATCTGGTGCATCCACCCCAGGAGGTCCATCGTCGTCAAATTGATCCTGCAAAACAAGCAAGAAAGATTAAATTCGATGCGATTTGAATGGAATTTTCAGCATTTGCAGAATCAAGTGTCTTCGCGAATCGTGAAAGCTGCAAGTTTTCACTTGCTCTAGATTAGTTAGTTAAGTTACGATTGTTTGAAGCAAGCAGCGCACTTGGGCGAAAAAGTAAAATTTTCGGAATTGCAGATTTAAGTGTCCAGTCAAGAAATTATGCGATTGGCATCGGTTCGACTTTGCCACACCTTACAATTTTTCAAGCCGGTTACGAATTAGAACCAAAGGCATTCAGCCATATTTTCCTAGTAAGATGTGGATATAAAGCAAAAAACTCCGATAGGCAAAGTTTCAGCAAAATTGCGATATAGAAACTTGCGGTTGGTAGCAGGGTCCAAGGAACGGATCTGTAAGGGCCTCGAATCAGGGGTAAAATACACATAACCACACAAGTAAAAACGTTCACTACATTGCACTTACGTCTGGATAGTTTATTGGAGAAGGTTCTATGGGGACGGTTGGCTCCGTTGGAGCCGCTTCAGCGGGTTCGGGTGGCTCTTCAGCTGGCTCAGGACTCTTTTCGGCGGGAGCTTCATCTGCCTCATCCTTTCCCTCGGAGTCGTCGGCACCATCAGGCTCTCCATCCCCGTAGAGCCACTGGTCATCATTGTCTAAGTCTTCAGCCGTTTGTTTTTCGGATTCTTCCATACTTACAAAACCCGTTAATTAGCTGAGGTTGATGGCCATTTTTCTTTCGAGTCTTATTTATTTTGGTTAGGTTAGGTGATGAAAGTTACGCAATTTTACCAATGGAAGAAAACAACAAGCGGGTAAGCCTGAGAATAATACCCTAGGCTTTGTCAAAAGTCAGTTTAGTTTACTTGTTTAGCGGCTTGTCTGTCTTCAATTGACAATTAAATCTTTTTATCCACAAGGCGCCATGGCCGCCGATCAGGAGCAATTTTACCAAATAATCCGAACCCTGTTGTCTACAGACAATTTAATCCGAACACAAGCAGAGGTAAGCAAATCGTTTCCTTTTTTGCGACTAGTAATTTACGCTAAAATTACGAACGAGGCAGTGTTTAACGTCGCCAAAATTCCCTTTAGTTGGCCCAAACCCACAACGTGTTGTCTCAATACCAAAAAAAACTTACCATGATTCATCACCATTAGCCGAGTTTACCGTAACATTCCACCTTTCACTGCCCGTTTGGCAAAGTTTGCATCAATTTTCCTAATTTTTGAGCGCATTACGGGTTAGGAATGGGCGCCAAAAACTACATATGCTAACCAGATGCTTTTGCTCAACAGGAGGCCTACAGTACCCTGCCCATTGAAAGCAAAATCACCCATTTGCTGAGTGCAATACGCAACGAGAACTTAGCAGAAGATGCCCGCCAAATTTCGGCCGTATTGTTGCGGAGAGTCTTCTCAAATGAGTTTACAGACTTCTATCCAAAACTGCCACCAGAGAGCCAGGCCCAGCTGAAAGAACAGGTTCTACTAGCGGTCCAACAGGTCAGAACTGAGATGTTGAGGCACAAAGTATGCGAAGTTGTCGCTGAAGTGGCCAGAAACCTCATTGATGAAGATGGCAACAACCAGTGGCCAGAATTTTTGCAGGTCAGCTACTCCACAATACTTTTAATATCAATCAGTTGATTGAAACTGAAAAAACCTAATTGATTGGGAACAGCCCGGCCATGGCTAATTTGAAATAATTCCCAACAGCCAATACTTTTCAGTTCAGATTCACTTTGTCGACATTCTCTTTATGGTTGCCGATCGATCAATTAAATTTTTCAAGCTCTAATCTGTAGGTGAGAGCGAGCGACTTATGCACAATCCATCAAGTGCTTCAATGAAATGTTAATTGAACTGCGATGACTCAGTATATTGGGCGCTATCAGCTCGATTCATTTGAAAGTACGACTGCAGACCGATTGTTTTGTCTTTTTATCAAATGGAAATTGATTTGGGACTTTCTTGGTGTTCAAATGCTCTAATTCATCACGAGCTACTTTCTTATAATGCGCATAAACAGAGCGAATGAAAATTAATATTTGCCCTATTTTAAATGAGCTTTTTAACATTTTTCAGCAGAATTCCGATTGCAATTAGCAAATTTTCTGATTGTTCCAGTTTCTTTTCCATTGTGCCAATGACCCCAACCCCATTCTCAAAGAAGCCGCCTTAACAATGTTCACCAGTGTACCAACGGTGTTTGGAAATCAACAGAGCAACTACTTAGATCTGATCAAGCAGATGCTGTCTCAAAGCTTGCAACCCCAAGGCGCTTACGAAGTGCGATTCCAAGCAGTACGCGCTGTCGGCGCGTTTATTTTGATCAACGACAAAGAAACGCAAATTTTAAAGCATTTTGCCGATCTTTTGGAACCGATTTTAGTGGTAATTGCTGAAAGCATTCAACAGCACGACGACGATACTCTTCTAAAGGTAAATTGGTTGAAGCAGCATCGAGTTTACAGAACTGAAATGTCTTTTTGTTCAGGTTCTCATTGATATGGCTGAAAATACTCCAAAATTTTTGCGGCCGCAGTTGCTCAACATTTATGAGATGTGCATGAAAGTGTTCAGCGATGCATCCGCCTTGGATAGTTGGCGAGCTTTGGCCTTGGAAGTTATGGTGACTTTAGCGGAAATGGCTCCGGCTATGGTGAGGAAAATGGCAGGAAACTACATGGAACAACTGGTTCCCCTGATTTTGCAATTCATGGCCGACTTGGAGGACGAAGAGAACTGGGCCGAATCCGATGAACTGCTTGATGAGGATAATGATTGCAACAACGTTGTGGCAGAGGCTGCTTTGGATCGTTTGGCAACCGGATTGGGTATAAAAATGACTTGTGTTTGAAACCTATTAGCTATTGATTTAATCCCGTTCTAGGGGGCAAAGTGATCTTGCCATTGGTGACTGCCAACATTCCGCAGATGTTGGCCAGTCCTGACTGGAAACAGCGACAGGCAGCCTTGATGGCAATCAGCGCTATCGGCGAAGGCTGCAACAAGCACATGGAAACAATGCTTCCGCAAATTATGGACGGTGTTCCCGGTGTTATGGAAAGCATTCTAAGGTATCTACAGGATCCGCATCCCAGGGTGAGTAGCGACTTTCTGAAAACTAACATAATTAATTCGATTATATGCATTGCTATATAAAAAATGGTGCATTAAATAAACCGTTGTGCAGGTTCGCTACGCTGCTTGCAATGCGATCGGTCAGATGAGCACCGACTTTGCACCAATTTTCGAGAAGAAGTTCCACGATCGTGTTGTACCTGGATTACTGATGCTTCTGGATGACAATGCTAATCCCAGAGTGCAAGCCCACGCGGGTAGGTCATGTTCCATCCGATTGATCATCAGTTTTTTACATGTGGTTTTATTTTGTTACTTTAGGCGCTGCATTGGTAAACTTTGCTGAAGATTGTCCCAAGCACATTCTCCACGTATACCTCCAACCGCTAATGGCAAAACTCGAGGGCATTTTAACATCGAAAGTGAACGAACTGGTGGAAAAGGGGACCAAGCTGGTGCTGGAACAAGTGGTTACAACCATAGCCAGCGTAGCGGATACGGCCGAACAGGAATTTGTCGCGTACTACGACCGATTGATGCCCTGTTTGAAGTACATAATCGCAAACGCGAATAAAGACGAATACAAGCTGTTGAGAGGAAAGGCGATTGAATGCGTCACGTTGATTGGAATAGCTGTTGGTTCTGAAAAGTTCAGTGCCGATGCCACACAAGTCATGGACATGTTGCTAAAGACATACGGAAACGGAACTGAATTGCCCGATGATGATCCACAGACTAGTTACCTGATATCCGCTTGGACTAGGATATGCCGGGTAAGAACACTTTGGATTTCTATAATTTTCGGGTTATTCCACATAGCGTAAATCATTGTTGTTTCGCTTTGTGAACAGTCAGGATTGAATGAATGTCTCTAGTAGTGTAGGTGTGGATGTGCGAAGCCTCTTAACCATTTCTGTTAGGTTTTAGGGAAGAATTTCGAGCCGTATCTTCCTTTGGTGATGGGCCCCGTGTTGCGAACAGCCGCTCTGAAACCCGATGTCGCCTTACTCGATAGCGAGGAAATGGCCGGCATTGAAGGACAGGAAGAAGACTGGCAATTTGTATCACTAGGCGACCAGAAGAACTTTGGAATTCGCACAGCCGGTAAGTGGGCTGGACGAAGGGCGCTCTATCTGGAGAGTTGTTCATGCCTGTTTCGTATAGGTTTGGAAGACAAAGCGGCGGCATGTACGATGTTAGTATGCTACGCGCGCGAGTTGAAGGAAGGATTTGCACCATATGCAGAAGAAACCGTTAAACTAATGGTGCCCATGTTGAAGTTCTACTTTCATGATGGTGTGCGAAATGCCGCCGCAGAATCGCTGCCTTGGCTGTTGGAATGCGCTACCAGTAGAGGCCCTGGATTTGTCAATGATATGTGGAGGTTCATTTGCCCTGACTTGCTAACAGCCATTGATACAGAGCCGGAAAATGAAGTTCTGTTGATCACTTTGGATTCTCTATCTCGTTGCATCCTTCAACTGGGCCCCTCATATATCAATCAGGAGTCGATGACTAAAATACTTGCGATTATTGATAAACTCATGAGTGAGCATTTTGAGCGAGCTAATGAGCGACATAAAAAGCACCTGGACGAGGATTACGACGAGGTAATAAATGCCCAGCAGTAGTTGAGAGCGAAAACAATCTGCAATTATTTCCAGGAAGTTCAAGAGCAGCTAGAAGACGAAGAGACTGACGACATCTGCATTCTGAACAAAGTAGCCGATGTTCTGCACTCTCTCTTCACTATTTACAGGGAAACTATGATACCGTTCTTTGACCAGATTCTCAATCACTTCGTCAATCTTCTAACGCCCAATAGAAGCTGGGCGGACAGACAATGGGGGGTTTGTGTTTTCGACGATGTGATCGAGTTCACTGGGCCCGCGTGCGTTAAATACCAGACCTACTTTCTGGGACCGATGTCTGTTTATGTTCGGGACAAGAGCTGCGAAGTTCGACAAGCCGTGGCATACGGTTGGGGTGTTTTGGCCCAGTTTGGAGGAGAGCAATTTGCTGCTGAAGTCGCTAAAATAGTACCGGCTCTCGTGGAAGTGATTAATGATGCAGAATCACGAGATCTGCGTAATATCAACGCCACAGAAAACGCAATTTCAGCGGTGGCGAAAATTTTAAAGTACAACAACACTCAAATCAATGTCAATGATGTTATCCCGCTCTGGTTCTCGTGGTTGCCTGTTGTCGAAGACGCTGATGAAGCAGTACACGTCTATGGATATATGTGCGATCTCATTGAGCAGAATAATCTGGCTATCATAGGCAAGTGATTCCTTCGGGAAGATTTTATGACTGATTATATTAACTCTAACTTTTCTCTGTTTAGGTGCGAATAACGAGAATATTCCCAAAATCGTTCACATTATCGCAGAGACGTTTCACCGAGAGGCGGTAGAAACCAACACACCAGTAGCAGTGAGAATGACAAACATAGTCCGACAGGTGCAATCAAACGAAACGTTTTTTCAATCACTGATTCACACAATGACCACTGAACAGCAACAGGCTCTGCATTTCGCTTTGCATGCAACTCCTGCGTCTTAGTTAATAAGCTATTCCTATTTCATTGTTTTACAATAACGTCAAAAATTACGGTTTTATTAATATACAATATATGTTATTTTTTTAAACAGTAAGGTGTTATTCGCAGGGACGCGCGACGCCTTTTAGAACTGTTAATTGTCTGTACATAGTTTGCTCGCAAACTTTTCTGCATGTGATATTTAATTTTCAATCCTATGGGCAATTGTCTGTGTTCGGAAAGTTGTTTTCTATTAATGTTGTAAACGGAGAAATCGTCTTGATTAAATAAATTAATTTTCTCTAAGGGGGTTTTTAGTAAAACTATTATCTATCAGTGCATGCGTTTTAATGTACTCCAATGTCCCAACATTTGCCAGTGCACAGTTTTGTCCAGGTCATTTTTACCGGCGTTAGTTTTGAAGTTTAGAAATGAACAATACGGGCGCGAATTTTGCGCTTTCGATGAGGAAAAGAGGCGAAATTTTGGCTACTCAAAAAACTACACTGTTGAGGCCATTTCAAGCAAAATACACTTCAATTCCCAGTATATTTGGTTATCAAATCACGGTCTTTCAAAAGTACGTCAAATTTCATGTCAATTTGCCTCACTAGTCTGCTGCTTAATGGCGATTAGGAAAGAGTTTGCAAATTGCTCCTCCAATATTTCAGAAATTGTCAAGTTTTTCCAATCTTAGTGCGGAAAATTGCGGATTTTCTAAAAGCGGAAGGTTTTCTTCACATTTTTTCGCTATTTTCCCCTGCGCTAGTCAGATTTTTGAAACAGAACGCAGTTTTTCAAGTCGGGGATATTTCGCCGTGCTACTGACAAGATGTGACAGCCACATTGACATGCGCGCACTATCAACTTAGGTAATTAATTACATTTTTAACCCTTTTGTTCTATCTATTTTCGCATTTTTACTCTATACACTTTTTAAACTTAGCTGAAATTGTGGAGAGCTTAACGTAATTTCGAACCTCCCGCTGACACAATCGGTGCAGAAATGCTCCGTACATCGATCAATAAAAGTAGATTTCTTCTACAACAGATGTGAATTGTGGACAAACTTTAGTCGCGCCCACTAGAATAAGCCGTAAACAGCATTCTACAATTTCTACAGGCTCATCTGACAATCCAATCTATAACCTCTGTGATTTGTGATTCGAGTTTCGAGCCTGTACAGGCCTGTAGTCATTTCAATATTGATTAAAATTCGTGTTTGTGCGTCTTATGGTTAAACCCGTCGTTTAATCGTCGTGTCGCCGTGAATTTCACATCAAATTCGTTAGCCACCAGTGATAAGTACTTGATATGTGACAGTATAAACCCTTTGGATTTGTGTTCAGGTGAATTTTTCCGAACAACTGGACACTGTTCAATCAAAAAGTATGCCCGGCCGGTTCAACAACAAGGCATAAACAGTATTTGTGGCTACTCGAAACCTGCCACTCTAGCACAACTCCAGTCAACAACAGTTTCATATGGAATTTGCTTAAGCAGCAGCATTCAGCTCATCATGTAAGTTTGCATATTCGCACGAATATCATTGTGTTCATGTGTTGCGCTGCTAGTTGGGTAGATTTCTCTACCAAGTTACCATTCTACCATATACGACTAGAACAGTTAGATAACCAGGTAATGTAACAATTAATCTTCTCCTATCAGTAGGTGCTTGAGCACACAGCCTCCAAACAAACACGATTATAAATAATCATTGTTATTTGATCAGCGATTATATCTATCTAGGTTTATAAGACAGTTTTAAACATTTTTCTTGATTATTTCCCGTATATCCAGCGAATTTGTTGCTGAGCGCAATTGCACAATGGGGCCTCTCTGTCCTTGTTTATTTGGGGTCAAGGCTCCAAGGTCAGCAAGGGGGCGCCCGCCCCTTTGTCCCTACTTCAATATTTCACTGTGTCAGTATTTCCACCTATTGTCTTTACTAGGAGGCGCTTATCCTGCACATGGATTTCGCTCCTATGCCGGATATTCCTGCTTCTGGATCGGGCTAATCCATTTTCCAGTGCCATTTTGTTACCACCTTGCTAGAGAAATTCGCTGTTAAAGTACAGGTTTAGAGTCACCACATGCAAGCTCCTTCCGAATCGGTATTGAACCTGTTATATCACGGATTTGAACGGTTATTCTTCGGGTTATGGACTGAGAACAGTTGTCCTCTAGGTAGCATGCGAATGTTGATTTTTTAGCTCAAATACTGTTCTTTAATGCGTGGCCGCATTCAAGAAAGAACAATATTTGAGGTAAAAAATCAACATTCTCATGCTATATTATCCCACTAAACAATTTTTTGTTTCAATCCCGAAACGTTTCAGTAATCTGCACTATCTGTTTATGTAACTGAAAATGTCCGCCCTCAGAAACGATTCGCTGAAACATTTCTGAAACGTTTCAAGGAAATGTTAGTGAAACGTTGCGCTAAACGTTATTTAAACGTTGCAAATATATATTTTGTAACATTCTACATGGTGTATCTTTGAAGAGTGGAAATATTTTAATTGATGGTACATGCTGGCTCTCGAAGCAGGACTATAGGATAGTCCTGCTTCGAGGACCAAAATATACCATCAGTTAAAATATTTCTACTTATCAAAGAATCACTCTGTATAGTTTCATGATTTTATAACGTTTTCAGAAAAAATACTCCTCTATAATTAGATGGGGCATTTTCGTTACTTCTCTTATGGACTGGGATTGTGACACTGGTTTTCCAGTCCTGGGGGATTTTATCATTTTGATGAGTTCACTGGTTAATTCGTTCTCTCCATATTTAAGGAGTTCGTTCGGAATATCATCGATTCCTGGAGCTTTTCTATTTTTAAGGGAAGGACTGCTGAGCAATTTGCTTCGGTCTTTCGTCCATCGGATCTTTAGTGATTAACTTACACAGTCTTTGAGTTAGTTTATGTGAGTTTTGAGCTGTTTCTAGCTTGTAATGGATAATTCAGTTTTTTTAGCAACGTGTCTGCACGTCATTCCATTGGCATGTCCCTGTTTTTTTAAATTTGCATGTTCTTCACAGTTTCACGTATTTAATACAAGCTGTTATCAGCTGCTAGTAACCACTCTAAGTGCAGGTACTCTAATTTGATAACCGACATTTCAAATCATTGTTTAGTCTTACAATATAACAGCCACTCGTTCACGTGCTCCCCTGATTTTATCTCGTGCTCTTTACCCTTAAATCAACCCAGTTAGATGGGTGTTTTAGCTGGTTATCTGTTTGGCCACTACATTCAGCCAAACAAGTGGAGCTGCTGGTAAAAGACACTGTTTACAATCTTAAAATAACATATTTGTTTCTCTTAAGTGGCTGCAGTTTGATATATGTACATAAACTAGTTGAGTTAATCGGTTTTGATTAACGCGGCTGTTTATTCCATTATTCCAACTACACAGATTATCATTAGTTTCGTTAAACATTTGCGCGATAACAGTTGTGTTAACTATTCAGATTTAAGGCTGGCGAACTTGATTTTTTATATCTACAGCTGAGTGCTAAATAAATTTGTCACTCGTACGCCCATCAAAGTCCACATTGAGGCATTGAATGAAACGTAATTACCTCTTTCCTGTGTGTTCTGTAAAGTGCACTTTTTTAAGTCCATTATGTTTATGATTATTCATCATCACATGCCGATAGTTAATTAATTGTTTTGTACTAATTTCCTGGATTGTTCATTTTTCTACTTACTTACATTTAAAGCGCATACGTTGTTTCTCCTGGTTATGGACAGAATAGTTGTCTTATTATCAAGTGCCTGGTGTGAGGCAAAAAACATTTCCATGATATTTTATAACAAAGCAACGATTCTGAATTCATAACTAGACGAAACACCCCTTATAATCCAACTGAGCAGAACCAACAGGTTGAAGAGCGTTCCTAGAGAATCCTTGCCCAAGAAACATGCTTTTTTTAAGTTTAGACTTGGCTTTTCTTTAATTTTTAGGTTTTGCAATTAACTTTTTAAATTCCCATTTGGATGTTTTGTTTTATTTTCAGACTTATTTTGCTTGAAGTGCCTGTAGAGTTCATGTTTATTTTGTCGCTTGACGATTTACACGACGTTTCGTGTTCAGTCCCCAACCATGTCGAGTCCGCCTAACCAACTCAGGGAGCAGCGCTCCTTCTCTGTAGGCGCCCGATTGTCCTTTCGCAGCTTCTTTAAAGATGCCGGCCCTAAGCAGTAAGTTAACATACGAAATTAACCTGCCTTAAGCCATAAAATCATTGCTTGGTGGGACGGTTTGGTGCCAGGGTATGGGGATTAATGGTGTCTTTGAGTACGGTCTAAATCGCGCAATAATAGTCCGGAAAACCCTTTCAAATGGTGCATCGATTAGCCTGATGAAGGTGCATTAAATGTTTTATTAGTCAAATTGATATGACACTGCATTGTTAGGAGTTTGTGCGGTTTATATTTAGATTAAGAAATCAATACTGCCACCATAGAGGCTGTTGCTTGACTTTGTGTGCTTTACTGCACTAAAAAAAGGGTTACTGCATTATGTAAATATGTATTATTTGAGTAAGTTGAGCTGTTATTAAATTCCTTAGGTGCTCAGCGCTATAATAAGGAAATTCATTAACGCTTCTCAGCGTCCAATTAAAGACCATTATCGGCGATTAAATGGGCGTTGTTTTTGTCTCTTCTGTTTTGAAAAGCTATTCCGTCTTGAAGATATTCGTTATCAACTGTGCGTTGATTTATTTGCACGAGTAACGGAAACATACAGTCATTTTATCTCTTTTTAACATATGGGATTGATGCCCTCGCACAGCCTTTGTTGGGGTTTTATGGCTGTTTGTTCAACCATTTCGTGTTTGTTCTTCAGTAATGCAATAGTCAAGATTTACCACTTGCATTAAATCAATGACACATCAACATTTTGTTTAAAATAAAAAGGGGTTTGTTTGGATCTAAATACGCTTTTTGTCATTTACACAGAACGTCTTTTAATTTGTTTGATGGTCTGATTGTCCAGGTGAATCCGCAGAGATTAGGGTAGATGTTTGGGGCGCATTCGCCATTTCGTCTAGATATCTTAAAGGTTATTTACTATGTACAACTAAATATATCAAACACTTTTATATAGAGCGAGTGTCTTTGATCAGCTTGTGCTTAGCACAGCTGGTATTCAAGAGATAACAGTAAAAAATCGACTCTATCAAAATTTCCTTTATGAATTAGTGCCCGGCCACCGATATATAGTTGTCGAAGTAAATAAATATTGAGTAACGCCTATATTGTTTTTGTAACCATTTGCACTGACCTCTACTAATGTTTTCTGTGCCAACCGAAATCAATCATCCTCGGATTAACATGCAACAAGCGAGAACAGATAGGAAATTAGTGGCGACTATTGCGAAATTTTGTTATCGTGTGAGAGCCGCAGATGAACGCGGAAATCCTTTTTAGGCGGCCGAAATGCACTTCAAAACTGTGCAGTTGATAAGTTGCATAGGTGACCTTGCTTAGCGACAATTCAGTTAATTGATGCCGGTCAATTTTTTCATATTCCGAAACGCTTTCTACCACCATCCAGCAACATTAATTGGTTGCTTGCTGACCGGCAACTGTGCAATTGAAGGAATTAAGGCATGATAAATGGCAGGAAAAACATAATGGAGCGTTGTGTTTGCTCAATTGGTCGATGTTTCAGTTTTTCTTTAGCAAAATGCATTTTCAATTTCTGATGTTGCGACTAACCCAAACTAACACAAACAAACTCATTGTGTGTTCTCCCAACTCAAGTGTTATACAATAGATGCCTAGATTGAGTCAAGTTAGAATATAATCGGCAAAAACCAACCAGTTCAAAACCTAAAGAATTCTCCAAATTTTAAACTAAAAAGGAAATCCTGAGGAAAAGTATATACTTAACATAGCCTAACATAGCCATTCAAATGTATATTGGGATGTCTCAATAAAAAAATGTTTACGTTGAAGTGTGTTCGGACACTCAATGTGAAAAACCCTACATGGGCGGTTTAATTTAAGCAAATCGGTCAATATTTATAAATCATAATCCCGCATGGTGGGTTAATAAATTAAATCCGACTGTATGTACTTAATAAAGGTCAACAGACAAGGTCGTTAAAAAATGGGCGTTTTGTAGTCGCAAAATGATTTAAACGCAACAAAGTGTACGAGTTTAAAGAACAGTCCATTAGAATTTCCATTATGCCATAAGGAAATTCGTTAGATTAGTGTTGACAGTGATATATGTTGGGTAGATTTACGGTTTGCATGCATGAAAAACACTTCTGAACTCATTGCAATCACTCTCGGTGTTATTAATTATTGTAAATATGGCTTGGCGAGATTTTTGCCGCGAATAATTTCCGCTCAGTTATTTTTAACCGCTTGTAGGTGTTGTTGGGAGCGAGTTTCTTTTCGTTTTTTTCCCGATTTTACGCCAACCGAAATGGCGAGACTGTCGACAGATCTTCGGACGCATTTGCAATGAAAACGTTTTATGTGGCTTTGGGTCGAATTTCCACAGACAATAAACCGTAGTAACCTTCTCAGGTGACGAACATCATAAATCTCGATTACGTCGCTGTTTGGTATCTGAAAATTACCAACACGCTTTATCCCACGGCTGTTTTTTTTTCTGATGGCAGAACCAGAAAGAACTAGGGCGAGGACTTACATTATCGACCTTGTCTTTTACACGATAGCACACACTTCATTTCGAATGGGAGCAATAAAACAGAACTCGCTGAGGAAAATTGAGGAAGTTCAGATGTGGTCTGGTTCTAATTTTCATCACAACGGCTAAAGTGTTACGAGAATGGCAAGGTTTTTGTCAACAGATCAGGCCTGGCGGCGGCTTAAATAAAGCTGAAATGTTGGCCCAAGACAAAACACAATTATTTTTGCAAACCGTTGTTTTCCTTTTCAATAGGTGAGGTAAAACAGCGATGGTTTGTGGAAAGAAACACTGTTTTTTGTATTTTAAACGGTTGACCGAAAACTTTTTTCGACGCATAGGAAGTCGGTATGCCATTCGTTCGCCCCAGACCTTAAAAACCGAGCAATTTGCGTAGCTTTTAATTAAATTATTATAGATTAGAATCAAGCGTTTTGTCCAATTTGTTGATTGTGAAAGAGCGCTACTACGCAACTAAGCATTTCAATTAACTATTATATTGTTGTACAATTAGTGTTGAAAATCGGACTTTAGCTGCACCCGCTTAAAAATACTTTAAGAAAGTCGTGAGTGAATTGATCAAAATCAATGCAAAATGTGAAATAAACCGAGCATAACGTGGAAGAGTGAAAGCATTGAGGCTGATGATTGTACAGTTAGGCGAGAAAACCTTCTAAAAGTGAGAATTCGTGGAATTCCACCAACAAATCCTCGTGCGAAATTACAAGTGTGATTAAGAAAAAAAATGATGTGCGTCACGGGACGCTCGACAGAAGTGATAACTTCATAAATTAATAGAAACCATAAAATATTGAACTTGTTTAACGCATGATGGCAATAATAA